CACCTTTTACATTAATCAGATATCGTAGAGAACATTATTACTTAGTTAAATATTTTTAATATTGTGAGTAGAAAGTATAGGATAGAGGTAATTTTTTGCTGTTAAATTATGCATGCATTTGGCAAATATGAGTCACAAAAAAATACACCATATCTTACACGTTTAGTTTTCTACAGTAACCGCGGCATAGAAGATAAGTATGCCTCAAAATTATTAAAGATAAATATAAACTATTAACCGTCTATACCCCAAACCATAAATTATTAGTTTTAATATTTCAGGCTCTCTTATTTTGTATTAAAAAAGTAATTATTTACAAAGCTCAGTCTCTCCTGAGTAAAAGGATAAGAAAATCATTAATAGTTTCGGAGATGACAATTTCTGTATGTAGTCAGGACATGTCAAAATCCGAAAAAAATTACAGCATAATAGATTCTACTCAGAATTATTGTATCAATCAACAGTTTGTTCATAGAATGATTGAAGTTTTGTCATTAGTTTTCTCGTGCATTTGTAATTCCGTTCAAAGATTTTGATAAAAGATAGCTCAAATATATATTCATTCTAATTGCCGAAAAACCACGATGCAATATTTCCGGAAAAGTTATTTGATTTTAATAATTTATTCAATAAGCATCTTGTATGATGAAGTACTTTTTTGGTATTATACATATTGTGGGATCGCAGCCTCCATATCCATCAAAAGGAGCAATAGCAACAATGAAAGCAAGGGGCACTTTGGTTATGGACGTAGAGTCCCAGTTTTTGCCAGCCGGAGGTTTTTTCGATATTCCCGCTTGGCCTCTCAAATTTTAATATATGTGTAAGTATGTATTATAGAGATACAGAATTCTATACTTCGTATGCGATTATAAAGTATCCTATCCTATACTTTATTTGTAATTTCATAGTTACATATAGTTCTAATTGTAATCATTATTCTATGTTAAATCGGTAATGGTGAAAGTAACACAAAAATGGTAAAGGAGATCACGAGACTCGTGACGTGTAAAAAAAATGCATTGAATGATACAGTCTAATCTATATCTCGTTTATGCTCCGACCCCCGACCTATCTTGAGTCTGCAGGCTCACCAAGGTTAACAAAGAAACATTCCCAAGTACATTCCCAATATCTCACAGATGTTGATGAAATTTACGTATGATGTTCTCGAAATAATATTTTCTTGTAAGAAAACCAACAGAAGGTAAGAGTTTTACTATATTTGCTCGTTCTATACAAAAGAGAGAAATCATCGCGAAATTCATGGTGGGTAAGCCAAAGAAGAAATTCGTTAGACACCGACGTACGAACCGCGTAAACGAAACAGTTTCTGATCTTTGTTCGTTCACGCTCCGTGGCATGGGCCGGTCGGCCCTTTCCTAGTTACATTTTGTTTCTTCACGGGGAACCACGGGATGTCACAGTATTAACTTTTGATAAACGTACAAAATAAATGGAGAGGAAGACTCGGTAATGCATTAAATATATTTAATATAATACAAAAATATGGATTTAATCATAAATTCAATAATTACATAATTATTAAACTATATAATGACGATTGTTATTTAAAATTACAAATTTAGTTAAAATTTAATATTTTATATTTAACCATAGAATACAGTGCTATCACAAACAAGATATGAGATAGACCTATCATTCAGTGTAAATTCGTATCATATGGTCCAGGCGCTACATGCCGTCATCGCATATGAAGTGTAGGACTATATTTTTATACTTTATCTGCAATGACATGTTTTTGTTTCAGAAGAAGTAGAAGAGGTTCTTGTTACGTCTATGGACTTCATCGATTTTGATGGTTGGTCTGAATATAATTCCTAAATCCACCTTCCTAAATTATAGGTAGCACAATAAAATCTGACTTTTTTCAGTATTGATATCTTAGAACATGTGATATCAAGTCCTGTACCTTATCTGTGATAATACTCTATAATTTACAGATCTCTTTACACACAGGATTTGTTGATATATTTCCTGATCAAAAATGCCACAATTACCACGAATTACAAGATCATTACGAATGTTTACAAATCTTGGACGTATTAAAAGTGTAATTGAACTAGAACCAAATGATTTATTAAAAAAACAAAAGGAACAACAGAACAAGTTAAAAAGGTACTTTTTTATTCGATATTTTGTTATTTGTAAAATTACGGGTATGTTTCATAGATAATTGAAAATATTAAAAAATTATATTTATTTTAAAATATCCGTTTGAAGAAAGAAATCTAATGGTTTACAATATCCAATTTCAACTTACCTAATTATTTACTATCATATGAATACAAAAATATAATAACCTATTAAAAAATACTAAACTGGTACTTAAATTTCTTTTAAATTTTCATACATAAAGCAATTATTTGCCTAGAATAATGTTTCCAGATAAATCAAATATATTGGGTAAAATTACTTCTAATTGATTTATTTAATTTTATTATTAATATTATATGTTTTAGTAATTAATATTTATATTTTTATATAATATAGTGAGTTCGACTGGCAAGAATTTTGTAAATTTATACCCAACAGTGTTCTACCCTATTTTAATAAGTTACGTCAAATTGCTACAAAAGTGCTTGGTATGTATTATTTTAAAATAATAAAATGAAAAGCTATTATTTACTTTTTATTTTTTTAGAGGAATGTCCTTCTGAACTCATTGATGAATTCATATACTTTACTTTACAATTATTAATCAATGATGAATTGTTATCACAAACAAAGTTTAAGATGTTAAAGGCAAAAGCAGGAAATTTAACATTATCAGATGCTGATAATATGCTTCAGGTAAGTATATTTAATTTATTATAAATTTTATTAATAATTTGGAAACATACAATTAACAGTATTAACAGTTAACAATTAACAGTATAATTGTAAACATTATTGTAATTAAAATTTTGTTTATATATATAAAAATTGGACATGTTTAATATATTTTATTATTTAAAATGTTACTTGAACAGTACAAAAAGAATAAAACCTTCTAATTATAATAATCATCACCAAATATTAAATTGGTATCCTACAAGCAGCCTCAGAATTATGGATATGAACATAACTCATGAGTAAGATTAAATAAAAAATGAAATTTTAATGTAAATCAATAAATTGTAGTTGAACTTTCTTCTGATAAGGTAGTTGATTTTTCAATTGATATTTCAAAAGTACTTATTAACAACTACAAGTGGTTATAATAAATGTTTCACTATAAGTTGTTTCTAAAATATGAAAGATTTTTAAATTTAAGAATAATAGTTTTTAAAAATACCTATTCTGAGTAACATAGAAGTGCTGAAACTGTTTCTTAATTACAGCAAATTTGTATGTTTAAGTAATTAAAATTGTACATTTTTTTTATCTTTTACAGATAATTATAACAATTCGCAAAGAATTAAGTGAAGATCTTTTAACACTTATAAAAAACAGAAAGGCAATTACTGATGATATTGAAATATCAGAAAATGATTTGTTTGGTCCAAAATTTGAGTATAAATCTGCAAGAGTATTATGGCCAGGTACTGAAACACTTCGCAGCATGTCTCTAGGGAGTGTAATTCAAAGCACTGACGATTTTACAATGGAATATAAGAATAAAGATACAAAACCATTAAAAATTGATTTTTG